CGTTGCGCTTGCACTGTGCTTCAGGCGACTGTATGGCAAGGGACAAAGCTCAATTGCTCTCACAGCTGTATGCTATTACATGTGATGTGTGCCATATTGTAAAGCACATGGATTTCCCGTTCCAAAGTTTGGCCCGGGATATGAGCTTGTGGCCGTGGAATGTTGGCGCAGTATTGGAACAGGCTGTGGGCACTCAGGTTCCCGACCTACAAATGGTAATGCCAGGTGCAACAGAGATAAGCACTGTTGCTTTAATGAACTTGGCGCGTCTCAGCGAGAGTGACACTCGGTCTGTTTACAGGACGTTTCATTCAATTGCAAGAAGGTGCATGGGAGTTCTGCCACGCATACTGTGGCCTCCAGACAGGTGGGACCATAAAACCACTCGAAATTTGCGGGCCAAGGACGTCGAGAATGCTATACGGAACCCCTTCTACAGAGGTGAGGCAGCAGCCGTCGACCCAGCGCCGGCTGGTGTTCTGTGGCTCACAAGACACCAGTTCGAGAATCCATGTATTTCAGTGAGCGGGCTGAAGAGTAATCTCTTGTGGTCAGTGATATAAATGACCGACATTGCCAGCGCAGAGATCTGTGAACATGGCCAGGGTTTCTGAGTATGTTGTCTGCCAAAGTTCATTCTCAGTTCTGAGCTGCAGGCACTTGTCGTATATGGGTTTCTAAATTGATGACCTCTGTTGTGTGGCAGAGTGCCGTGCCTGTACCTTGATAATGATGATGATGGTCATTCCCTCATCTGCTCACTATTGTGCATTAGCGGCCTGTCAACGTGCGAGCTGAGTCACAGCTTTTGCGGTGCTCATTTTTTGCGGCAAGGACATCCATTTGGGCCCGTCACAGTGTTTTGTTGTCTTGTGTGCAGATCATCCTGAACTGATAAACAAGAAGACAACGTTCATTAGAGCCATGGTCGCCAAGGTCATTCGGACACTCAAGAAGTACTGGAAGTCGGACGACCCAGAAATCCTAACAAAGCACGTCCCTACGCACAGCGGAGGGAGTGAGATGGAGGAGCAGGAGAGGCAGCGGTGCTTGTCATACGCTCGCGCTGTTCATAACATCATGATTCAGAGTGACGCCACCAAGGAGCGGGGCGGCACCAGCGGGATCTGCATGACTTTTGACGCATTCTTGAAGACATTTTCGCTTTATTGCAAGAATAGTTACTGGTACTTGTGCGACAGGAACGGCCGCCAGTACGATTACATCTTGGTGGACGAGGCGCAGGATTTGAACCCTCCGATGTGCGAGTTGATCTCCTCCCATGCGGGGCGGGGCCACACAGCCCTGATTTTGGTGGGAGATTCACACCAGAGGATATACAGCTTCAACAATTGCATTGACAGCCTTGCTGAAGGTCGAGATTTAAAATTTGACTACACATTCCCATTGACAGGGACCTTTCGGAGCAGGGAAGAGGTCACGGCCGTTGGGGGCAATGCGCTGCGGGTCCTCAAGCGCGACTGGCGCCCATTCGTGGGGCTGGGCGGCGCCAAAGGGCAAGTCATTTGTCCCTGGCGCCCATTCGTGGGGCTGAGCAACGTCAAAGGGCCAGCCATTTGTCCTAGTGCAGAGCACGTCAATGGCTGTGACGGCAAAGTTGCCCACATCTTCCGTTACAGCAGAACCCTCCTTGACTACGCAGCGAACCTCGCTGCCTGTGGGACCGACTTCACCACGTCCCTTGGGGACAGGCTGGAGACTCTGCTGGACCTGGTTCGTGGCTGCTGGTACCTAAGGATGGGCAAGATGGAGCTTTATCGCAGCGCCCATCAGCGAAGGTTCGTGGAGTACCAGTCATGGGAGGCGCTGATGGAATCGATGGACGACCTTGGGGATGACGATCTGTTGCAGGCTCTGCTGATCACTTTGAGTTTGGAGGGGAGAGGGGAGCTGCCTGGGGAGATGGAAGGGCCCTCGCACATATTCAGTGGAGTGTCCCACCATGCAGTTGCTGATGCGGACATCCACTTGACGACGTGTCACAAGGCAAAGGGCCAGGAGTGGGACAATGTACGGGTGGCGGAAGATTTTCTGTCAGGATGGGAGAGCGGGGCTTTTGAGTCGACGGTGGCGCAACTGGATATTGGCAGAGCGGCTTGGTCGCGCGAAAAAGTGGACGAGTTGAATTTGGTGTATGTAGCTGTGACGCGAGCACGCAGGAGATTATTCTTGGGGCCCCGGCTTGGAGCTATTCTACAAGTGCTAGATGACGAATTGTCGGGTTGATTCCTGTCCATTCTGTTTCAACGCATAGTGGAGAATATGAAATTGGACGTTGTACATTGTACTTCTTTCTGACAAGCATGCAATCGGGTGATGCAGAAGCAGAGCCAACATCGACTGTTCATGAGCCCAATGTTGCACCAAAGGCATTGGCCACGTTCCTCTACATCCAGCATCCACCTGTGCAACCTTATCTGCAAGAGCTCAAGCCCACAGTAGCAGCATAAAAGCATTTTTCTATTGACACAGCCACGCTATTCTGCAAAATCATGTGTCTAAGTGTGGCGAACACAGGGATACGTTTCATCAATTTGAAGCTCATCTGTGAAGCAAGTCACAAAGTTTCTTGTTCAGTTGACGTGGGCCTGGTTCCGATCTGCATGCAGGGCACACTACATTCGTTGGTCAACATTGCATCCCAAAGATACAAGCGCACGGGTGCTCCTGTCGCTTCCCTGACTCGCTGGCTGCCATATGGTGTATAATTACAAAGATGCTGTACAAATTAGTGCTGCTCTGGATGCTTAATGGCACAAGCACAAGTAATGGCTCACTTCCATTGGCTGGCGCAGAAGCTAGCGAACTGATCACTCCCATTCCTTGCGACTCGATCCTACACTCAGTCTCCATCACTTGTTGGTACATTTCCCAGCTTCAATTCCCTCAACTCTTGACATCTCCAGGGTTGCAAGCCCACAGATATGATGAACCTTGGTGGAGCAACAGTACACTCCATGCAGGAGGCCTGCGCTACCACACAGCCCTTCTGCTGTGATGCCCGATCTGTAATTGATGCATCAGCAACTGTGCCTTGATGTCATGAGGCCAAACATCCGTCTTCGTTTCATCGTGAGTCCAATTTGTTTCCTTGACTGCTAGATGGTCAACCACCAAGCACTACTTTAATTCAATCGCAACGAAGTTTCCAATAGCGACCAACGCATAATTGACACTCCATCATGCTTCCTCCCACCCACAACTGACTGGCACTGGGGACAGACTGGAAAACCACCAGAATGCACGCCAGCTCGCGCAGAAAAATCCCGCTGTCCACCAAACTCTGGGACTTCCCTCCCCTCTCACACCGTCCCGGCCTCCCGCTGGCAGTCGTCATCCCGGCTCTGCAGCCGCACCGAGTAGTCGATGGGAAAGCTGGCCAGCAGCTTGCCGATGTCCCTCCTTTTGACCCCAAGCCGCGACAGGTACCTCACCACGGGCTCGATCCACACGCCCAGTACCTGGGGCCGCCGCTTCACCAGGTCGCCCACCTCCTCCCTCTCCACCCCCAAGCTCACCAGGTACGCCACCTGCGGCGCCAGCTCTCCCTTCACCGAGTACTGCAACACCCTGGGGAACCGCACCACGGCAGCAGCCACCTCATCCGAATCCAGCCCCAGGCCCGCTAGAAACTCCACGGCCGGGCGCGCCTTCCTGTCCAGGCTGCACAGCAGCGCGCGCGGGTGCTTGAGCGCCACACGCCTCAGGTTAGCGCTTCCGCCGAGCACGCTGGTGAGGTAGCGCGCCAGCGGCCGCAGCTTCAGATCCACGGGCTCGTCCGCCAGCTCGGGGCAGGCGCCCAGCATCTTGCGCACCTCCCTCTCCTCGAAGCCCAGCTCGATCAGGAAGCCGATGGCGGGATGCTGGCCCGGGTCGAGAGCATCCGCCGCGTCCTGATGGGATGTGCTTGCCATGCATGGAGGTGGTCGCCGGCGCTCGGAGAGCTGGGCAGGGGACAGGCACGGCGCGGCCTTGGCGCAGGGGGATCCCGAGACGCAGTTGTGGCCCGCCAGACGGCCGGGGGCCGCCGTGGCGGTAAGGGATGCCCGCCTGGCGTGGATGGGCACGCCCATCGGCGCACACTGGCACCTGGGGCTCTGCAGCGCGAGCGGCTGCGGCAGGGTCATTTGGAGCGCCCCCGTGAGGCCCCCCGGCGCTGGCACACCCGTGGGCGGTGGGGCAACCCGGCCAGCCTGGTGGCTTGGGGAATGCGCTGAGTCGGAACGCCATCCGTGGACCCTGGGGACCAAGTACTGGGCCGCGGTGTGTTGCGAAAGTTGCTTGGGGGAGTCGGACTACGGTCCTGGGCTCGTGGGCGGTCGGCTGCCGATGGGTGTGCATTTAGTTCAGTGTCGCTGAGACGCTACGGTGTCTCAGTCTGGTGATGCAATGTAATTGAATTTAAATGAGTTAGGTGCGATGAGCTTGATGCTTGGCGCGGTTGCAATCTTCCCTTTTTAAGTTTGACGGAAAAGGGACTAGGGTCTTTGTACTTGAATGGCTGGTCGCGAGAAGTGTTTTCCTACCGGCCTGTTGCCGGGGTGCGTTTGTGACGAGTTTTCCGGGCCTGTCCACCCACCCCACGGTCCCAAAACCGTAGCTGAGCGCCTCGCTCGTCTCAACTGCTGTAGACACACCTTCGCATCCCGGACGAGCTGGTGGGGGCATGTGCCCCGTCCTGACGGCGAGCGATGCGCAGAAGATGCATGCATCTGCGGTGCCCCGAGGGATTTGGGCGGCCTGGCTGTCGTTCGCACGAGTGTGGATGACATCAACATGCACACCCAGTGAGAACATGGACCGTGCTGCGAGACGCATAGCTCCTTTGAGATCAAACGAGTCTGTTCAGAATGCCACTGCCCCAACAGCGAATCCTTGATGAATGTCGTCGATGGTGAGCCATTGACTGCGCACATTGCGCAACCAGGCGCCGGCGGTCTTGCGACACTTTGCCCACCGCGCGACGGAACAAGTGAACGCCCCGATCAAGCTGGCCAAATTGGTTGAGAAAGCTCGCCCCAAGACGGGCAACTGGGTGTGAGGCATCCGCGCTCCGGAACCACGCCGCGCCGATGCAAAGGCTGCTCATCAAGTGTGCCCTTTGCTGAATTTTCCTTTAGCCCAATCAAGCCGAGCTGTAGAGCATGCGCCCAGAAAACAGAAATCGATTTCTAGTGGTTACATGTTTCACATGCACAACAGGTACCAGACAATTGTTCTCTGCCCCTTTGTCGTCAGTGGAACTCCCGACTGTCGTCGGGGCTTCCGCTGCATTCACCATCCAGATGTAAGCAAGCTAGTGTCGCGGACTAATGCGAAAGGACCATCAATGCATTTTTTTCTGGACAAAGCACATAGCAGTGGATGCGGCATAAGCTGATGCGATTTGGACCAATAGTGCTCCCCACCCTATTGACTGCACGACTGGTAGGGTGGACTGCTCACTGAGGCAGTGGCCTGGGAGGTCCGAGAGCATAGCTTCCAGAGGCCCATGGCCGTTTCCAGCGGTATTAGATGTCTTGAACCATTCCTGTGCAAACAGTGACAACTCAGTGGACCATCGTACTTGAGTTTTCTGCATACTCAAAATGGCCAGATTGACAGCAATGGCGAGTAGTTAAATTATCGGTACATCTTGTCATCATCATTCGAAACTGTGCGCAGTTTACCACAGGGCTCACATGTAGACCAGCACACGTCGCATTTGTCACACGCTCTCGTGGATAGAGCACAGAGAAAATCGTGCTTCTGTGGCCGAAACTCCTTTTGAATTTCTTAAATTGAATTCTGGGGCCCAACGCATCTTGCTGCAAGAATAGATTGGCTTTGAATTCAAATTTTCAGTACTGAAGTCTGCGGAAACGCCCTCGCAGCTCCAGGGGCCACGGTAACTCACATTGCCGTATATCGGATATACGGCGGATATATCGGTGCCCGTTTCTGAATGCAGCCCTAAAATGTCATCTGGCCAATGCGCTGAGCGTGCGCAGTGCGCGCCAAATGCACGCTCACCTCAAAAGCTTTGCGCGACGCATCTCGTGAATCCCTCAGAACTTGGATTTCTGCAGCCGTCTTTCTTGCAATTTCATCAGCAATTTCTCCTGTTGACCATCTCTGAAGCGCCTCTTGCAGAAACGGGGCAGCGGATCTTTCCTCCTGAAGGAGCTCTTTGTGAGCCGCTTGAGTAGTGCTTTCCGACAGGGCATCCAGCAGAAGCTGTTGGACAACAATGGGCAGCGTAAGTGCACATTCATGTTGATTTACTTGAGGTAGATGGTTTTGACGGAAAGCCGTGCCTCCGAACGTCAAGAGGAAATTCTCATGTCAATCCTTTGAGTATCGAATATTCTTGACCGTCAAAGCTCGATGGCATTCTCATGTGATTGCAACTTTCTTCGATAGTTTTGCCCTTCGGGATACTAATTTTTTGCCATTTTCCATCACTTCTGCTCGTGAAATAGGTACAGCTAACCAGCAACATTTGCTCTGAGTATGGAGAACCTTATTAGTATATCTTTGATGCTTTTGTAATGTATTAAAATCGATTTCTGCACTGTGTACTGATGCAAATCACCGGAAGCGTCATCTGCATTTGCGATATGTAGATACATTTTGCAAGCGATAAAGAACTTTCAATCTATCACTGAATTCATAACGCCATCGCAGATATGCAACACCACGGACAGTACCTCGTACTCGTGATATGTGAGATCGGTGTGGTCGCTCTGATGCTGCTCAATTCGCTGCAATGCGTAGTCTGCCGCCATTATCCTCTGCTGGATGTTCTGCAGCACCAATCTGGTGTGGTGGTCATCAGGATGAGATGATGACGACACGTTCTCGGCGTGCTCTCTGAGGTGCAGCAACACGTCTCTGGCATGGAGCCGCATGGCTTCCAGCTTCGCCTTGATGAAAACGTGATCCTGAAGCGCAAGATACAGCATCCGTGTTGGACTCAGGACGAGTGCCTCGCATTGAATGTGGTATCTCATCTCTTGGTTTGTTCATTCCGGAACGCGCGACGTGAGCATAAACTCGTGGTGCCCGAGGCAGCGTGAAGCGCCTTGGCCACCTTGGGATATCCTTGGGAGCAAATTTCCATATTCTCAGCTCACCCCGCATTGGGATTACGGCTCGCTCCCTCAACTGCCCATGTGGATTACAGCCTCATGAACTGGCTTGTGCCAATTGATTTAATGTGTTTTATGGCAGGAAATTGTGGCGAG